GTCTGGCGCCCCCCCGCCCCGGCCCGGCGGGGCGGAGGCGCTGGGCGCCGCGCCAGGGACCAGCCTGCGCCCTCCTGCCTCGCGGCGGAGCTGGCCCCGGGCTCCGCATCTCCACAGCGGCCTCCTGCCCCGCGGCTTCTCGCGCGCCCGCCGCAAGCCTGCCCGGCCAGCAGTCCGCGCCCCGGCGAGGAAATGCCGCATGAGGCTTCACAGCAACCAGTTTTAAAGTATCAGCGAAATTCCTGGAGTTTAAATGTGACCAGCTCGAGCAGGGGGAGCGTCCTAAGCAAACATATCCCTAATAGCCCTGGCTCTCACTAGAACAACTGCCAGCCTCCGACCCGGGGCGTCTGCCTCAAACACCAGCAGGTTGATACTTCATTCCCTTACTTGATGAACAAGGCTGGGAGTTTTCCAAAGTCAAATCTACACCACAATCAAGCTTTGTGAACATGGGCGTTCATTTAGAACAGTGGATTTCATTTGCAGACCCCTAAACATTTTTGAACGACGGTGCAGACCTCTTTGAATCGTAAGCGTGGGTCTTCATATACTTTTGGTTGATCAGAGTGATCTTTTGTGGACGCCTCCAACAGCCTACAGAGCCCCAGGGGTCCATAGACCCCAAGCTGAAAACCACTGACTTTGAATTAACCTGAACCGGCACACATCTCATCACGTATGGTAACAATATGGATCTCCAATGCAATCGAGCACACTCGATTAAGTGAGCTGACGCATACTGCACCACGTCACATGCAGTTGTATGAGTGGTGAAACGCATATCAGCACACAGAAAATGGAGGTGGTGAGCTTTTGAACTCAAACACCTTCAATGTGTTTTAGTTCAAAAGTGCACTGCCATTTTCTTAGCGTTGACACACATTTCCCCATTTATACAAATGCATGCCCCACAGTGTCAGGCGCTTTTAAAAGTGCCTGGTGCTGCAGTGCAATTGGCAAGACCGCAGTTCTGGGCGCCACACTTTGACAAGGCCGTAGTAAAGCCTGAGAGTCCAGAGAAGGGCCACCCATATGATCTGAGACTTGCACGGCAAGCTGTAAGAGGAAAGGCTGAGGCATCTGGGACTCTTCAGCCTGAAAAAAAAAAGCCAAGAGGGGACTCAGCAGCAGCTTACCGCTACATCAGAGGCATACATCAAGGGCTTGGCAAACAACTGTTCATCAGGGCACCCTTGGGGAAAACTAGGAGTAATGGTCATAAACTCCTGGAAGACCATTTCAGGCTCAACATTAGGAAATACTACTTCACAACCAGGATGTCCAGACTGAAATAAGCTCCCTCCAGAGGTTGTGCAATCACCTACCTGGAAATCTTCAAGAGGAGACTGGACGGTCACCTTGCTGGGGTCACCTGACCCCTGTTGTCTTTCCTGTTTGGTGCAGGGGGATGGACCCAATGATCGTCCAAGGTCCCTTCCAGCCTTACAGTCTATGAATCTATGACAGGGGCTTTCAACCTTTTTGGGTCAGCATATCTCTGATGGCTGGTCGAGAAGGAAGGAGTCCCCCAGCAGTCAGTCAACAGGCTGGGAGGGCGATTCCCCCAGGGGCTGATCAGCGATGGAGGGGTGGGGAGGAGGTCCCCCATGGCTGCTGGTAATACGGCAGCTGCGCCCACTGCCGATTAACCCCTGAGGTCATCCCAAGTACCCCCAGTTGAAAATCCCTGATCTATGAAATGCCCCAGTAAGCAAAATGCAGGTCTGTGAAAATTCAAATGCATGGCAGTGAAGATCAGAGGTGATGGGAAACAACAGGTGTGAGACAGGTAGGTGTGGGGAGGAAGGGGAAATGTTGACCTGATTATAGAACATAGCTGGTAAAATGCAGACAGGTTACCAGGGGTTATCTAATGGCAGGCAGATTAGAACGTGCCATAAATCCAATGTCTACATTTAATCCATGATTTTTTGTATCCAGGAGGTTGATGAAGTGAAGTTCATAGGCTCTTCTGTAAAAGGTGTTTTGTAAATTCCCTTTAAGGAGTAGAACTGAGAGATCGGAGAGAGAGTGGTTGTGTTGTGAGCAGTGTGCACCCACACGTAACTGGGTATTCTTGTCTTTGATGGATTTCTGCTGTGCATTCATTCTGGTACACAGTTGTTTGCTTTCTTCTTCGTATTTTCCATCAGGGCATTTAGTGCACTGGGTGAGATACGTTACATTTCTGGAGGTGTGAGATACAGGAACGGTGATGGTTCTGTTGTGGGGTGTAGTTATTGTGGGGGGTGTGGAGATGTGTTGGCAGGTTTTACATTTCTTGTCCCAACATGGTCTGGATCCATTCAATGTGCTTTGGGCCATAAGAGGTTTGCTTCTGGTGATGAGGTTGGCAAGGTTTGGTGCTTGTTTAAAGGCTAGGATGGGTGACTCTAGAAAAAAATCTCTTTAAGAATTGGGTCTTCATCAAGTAGGGCTGCAATTCTTTGAGGATTTTCCATATAGGTTCCAGGGAAGGCTGGTATGTCATAACTAGTGATGTGTGATTAGTGGGTATTTTCTTTTTGTGCTGCAGCAATTCCTCATGTGGTATCGGGGTGGCTCTTTCAAAACTACGATCTCTCTCTCTGGAGGAGTGTCCTTGTTGGGTAAAAGACCTTTTGACATTTGCAAGGTGACGCTCTTGGGTATTCTCCTCAGTGCAAATTTGGTGGTATCGGAGAGCTTGACTGTAAGTTACAGATTTTTTGGGGTGTTTAGGGCACGGGTAGGCAAAATACAGCCCACAGAGAGGCTTTGTCCAGCCTGCAACAGGTCCTTTGGTCCTGCCTGGCAGAGGTACCGCCTAGTCATGGCACGTCTTACTGCCCCCTGGGCACACAGCGGGGCTGGGGTGGCTCTGCAGTTGTACTGCCTTTCTAGGCAACGCAGCAGTGGCTCCTTCTGGCTGCTGCTGGCCCCAGCCCCGCAATACTGGTGGGGACCCACACATGCAGCCCACCCCCACATGCCCTGTGCCTGCTCTGGACTTACCTGTCTGGGCTGAGCAGCAGCAGCATGAGGCAGAAACTGTTGCTTGGTGCATGGGGAAAAGCAGTCCCTCCCCCCTTGCCACAGCGCGGAGCAGGCACAGGGCAGCCCAGAGGGGCCACTGGTGGCGGCAGCCAGAAGGAGCCACCCCAGCCCCGCTGTGGCAGGATGTGCTACAGTAGGGTGGCACAGTGGGCACAGAGCAGGCTGGGGCTGCACGCTGCTGGCGGTGGTAGGGAGGCACCACAGGGCGCATAGGCTTTGGGCTGTTGCAGGGCAGGGTCGGATGCTAAGTGGCTCAGGGGGGTGCATGTGGGAGGCTTCCATGCGCACCCCACCCTACCCTCAATCCCTCCCCCACAAG